AACCCCTACGGGTACCTGCAGTCCGATAGCTGGTCACCCAGATAAATGAATTAATGTTTTCGGAGAGGTTGTGCTATTCAGAGCGCTGTCTGTATTTTCACACATAGAGTCATAGGATGTTCTAGTCCAACCCCCTGCCAGGGCAGGATCCTCTAGGGCAGCCACACAGGAACGTGTCCAGGTGGGTTTTGAAAGTCTCCAGAGAAGAAGACGCCACAACCTCTCTGGGCAGCCTGTGCCAGTGCTCTGTCACCATCACAGTAGTTTCTCCTCACATTGAGGTGGAACTTCCTATGTTCTAACTTAAACCCATTATTCCTTGTTCTATTGCTGGGAACCACTGAGAAGAGATTATCCCCTTCCCCTTGACACCCACCCTTCAGATATTTGTATACGTTAATATGGTCCCCTCTCAGCCATCTCCTTTCAAGACTAAACAGCCCCAGTTCTGTCAGTCTCTCTTCACAGGAGAGATGTTCAAGTCCCTTAATCATCCTCATAGCTCTCCATTGGACTCTCTCCAGTAGGTCCCTGTCTCTCTTGAATGGGAGAGCCCAAAACTGGACACAATGTTCCAGGTGTGGTCTCACCAGGGCAGAGTAGAGGGAGAGCAGAACCTCCCTAGCCCTGCTGGACACACTTTGCTTAATGCACCCCAGGATCCCATTGGCCCTCTTGGCCACAAGGGCACGTATATACATGAACATGCGTATTCACACAACATATCCCTGCAAGGTAGTTTTAGGCTGACCTGGTTCAGTAGATTCATCTTTGCATCAAACTGCTCAGCGAACAGTGATTTAAGACATCATGCCATCGATGAAAAATGCACGTGCCTTTAAAAATTAAACCTTTATCTGAAAACAATCAATGTTGCCTCTGAGATTCAGCATCTGTTCTCTCATACGCTGGGGGTATCCTAAAGGTCTGCTGGAGAAGAGACTGTCGTTGCTCCAGTAGTCACAGAGGTGACATAAACACGTCGGAAATCAAGTTTTATTTGTCCCACAGAAACAAAATTCTCAAGAAGTGTGTTCAATGTCTGCTCATACAGACAGGTCAACTGAAAAACATGCTTACAAGTAGCGAGACCGCTATGGTAGATACTTTTACTGGCAGATGTGTTTCAGTTGGGGGACTTTACAATCAACAATGGCATTTTCTTAGTAATAAAAAAAAATGTTGACATTTAGATAATTTTCTGTTTTACTTGTGTACCAGCAATGTTTTGAAAACATAGAATAGACTTAAAATGTCAGGGCCAACAATCCAGGATAGAGTTCTGTTGGTCTGACAGCCAGTTTATAATCCTTCCTTCCTCTCCAGATTTAATTATGTTAGACCTTCCCTACATAAACCCCAAATTATCTGAGATAATCACAATGTAATTATTATAAAAAGTATAATAAAATTGTCATTGTCATCATCATCATCCTAGTTAAAAGCAGAATTAACACTGAAAAGTGTGCCTGCACACCAGTATATTGGTTGTATGATGATGTCATTAGACCAAAGAGCTTCAGAAGATTTTTCTCAAATTCTCCTAATAAAATAGTCTTTTTGGCCGATAATATTAACACAAGTAATTTCAACTAAGAAATTCTGTTGAAAATACTGTGAACAAATTTAAATAAGTTGTAATTAGAATTCAAAACCAAAAATCATAGTAATGCACATAGATCCTTCACTGGACATTGCTCCTGGAAAAGAAAAAACAAAAATGTTTCTGAAGCTGTTTCCTTTTTTTCCTTACTGTTGATAAGTTGAAGCATTTCTTTTGCTGCCCCACCAGGACTTAGATGAATTTGTATAATGTAAATTATGTATCATGTAAATGAATGTGTGTGATGTAAAAGGTATCAGCCAGCATATGTCCCAGAAAGTAACTAATAAACCAAATAACATTCAGATGATATTAGGTAAAACACAGTAAGTGTTTATTGAAAATTTTCAAGAGAAAGAAGCAAAATATATATTTTGATTTTTAAACAAACGACTGAAGTAGTAACCACAAAACATTTTCACATTTCATGGATCAAAACTTTGTGTCTGCCTGGCAAAGTATATATCAATCTCTTTTAACTATTAGCATGGAAATTTAGTATTTTTAAAGAAATACCAAGTGTCCTTTAAAACCGTAATATGTTATCATTTGTAAGTTGAAAGTGATAGCCACAAATGTGCTCGTTGGTTTGTGGGTTGTCACAGTGTTTCTGTGTTGAAACTGATGTACATTATCATTCCTTACTTTCAGGATCAAAATAGAGGTTATGGTTGTCTCCTCAGCAACTGATATATATCAATTTAAAACGTAATTTTGTTATAATAGTATTTTATTTTATGAAAAGAATACTTTTTCAGATTATGTCTTTCGACAGTTTAATAAACACAAAATCATGTTTACCTCCATCTACCTGGAATTCCAGTAAGAAAAAGCATGCTTTGCATATAAGATTAAGATAAAACCACACAGATTTCCTCTAGGCCTGAAAGAGTTAGCTAAAATGGCGCTATTGCAGAATTATGTCAGTAAACTACTAGTTTTTGGCAGCGTTCAGCTGCATTTTATTCGTTTGCTAGTATTTCGATTCAATTAGCTAAACGAAGGCAGAGAGATTGAAAAAGCGTTAGTTTTTGGTGAGAGATTTGTCTACCTAAGGACAAGTCTGTCTACCTAAGCACAGCAAGATTGATCAGGAACAAGGGGAAAAGTCAAAACAGGCTTGCTAGTGAAACTGTATCAACCATACCTCTGTGTACGTATGTGTTTAAAAGTTGGTGTGATGTAGATTTTGCAGAACAAAGTGTCACAGACTCATTCTGAATCATTCTGAAAACTTTGTACCTGATTTCCCTTTACATAAATTGTGAATAATATGGTTCTTAAAAACCAAGCCTGCCAGATTACTGCCTCTAAAGGCAGGACTTAAGTTTTCAAGAAGAGAAACCAAAGTTCTATCAAATTCCAGTTCCTGTGAGGAGCTAAACATAGTTTCAGTAATAAATAAATAAATAAATAGATAGATAGATAAATAAATAAAATCAACATGTGTTCCTCTCATTTTTATTTCTTTTTAATCAGCAGTTTGTCAACATACAGAATTTTTATGCTATATTTTTAAATTAAGAATCGGTTTTCCATCTATAGCTCCTTTCACTTTGCTTGAACTCAGACAAAAATACAAAATTAAAGCATTAAAATTTTTAGTGTTTTATACAATTTAAAGTTTTCCTTAAACTTATAGACAATACAGAAATAGACTAAAGGAACCTAACATGTATGAATGGAAAAAGCAATTTCCTTGTTCCTAATCTATCAGAAGGATTAAGTATTTTGGATAGTTTTGAAAACAAGAAAAAAAAGTTGTTTGGTGACTCAGATATTAACAAATGAGAAGTTTTCCTTTTTTAGCTTATATTAAACTTGATTTCTTTTTTTTTTTTTAAATAACTTCTGAATCAAAATGTGTATGCAACCTTTATGAATACAGGTGGAATAGTTCAATACAATCCGCGGATGTCTTAAGCACATCTTTGATGATGTAAAACTCAAAGGTACAAGAATGCCATCAAGTGAAAGAGAGCAGGATTGCAGTGTCTCAACAAAATATTCATTGAAGGAAGACTTTCTTTTGTTAGAATGATAAAGCAGAAAAAAATAGTCACATCCGTGGGCTGAATGTCACCAACGAAAGGAGCCTGTGATCAGAAGGCAGCTCTTCTTTCAGCAGTTTACACTGTAGCCCCACCTGAAAAATGAAGATTGAACATTCAGTATTTCCACCACAGATGCCCTCTGACAGATTTTCTGGGCTTTTTTTGCTCCAGCCCTTTTGAGGCAGCAGGTGGGAACCTCGCATCCCCCAAGACGTACAGGCAGCCTTCCCGCTTCGTCTCACTCCCCATTTCCAGAGGGCCATGGGATCTCTGACCTGACACTTATAGCAACACCCAGGTCACATAAATGGGGGAAAAGAAGCAAATGTTAGGACCCTGAGGGCACAAACAGCCTTCACGGCCCTGACCAGCCTCTCCTGGGACATCCCCAGGCCGTGCTCCAGCTGGATCTCCCCTGCGTAACCCTGCCCAAGCCTTCCCACAGAGCCCAGCATGGCACCCCCAAGCCCTCATCCTTGAACCCATTTCTGCCTCTGCTGGAATTGTTTGTAAAATTCCCACCTACTTCAGCACTGAATGAGCTCAGAAAGAGGGAAGCCAGTTAGGTCTTACTTACCCTGTGGTTTGAAACAAAGTTTTTTGTTCTTGTAGGCAGAGTAGGCTGCTATGGATCCAACGACTAGTATTACGAAAGCAGATATTATAGGAGATGTAACGCCAGCTATTAATCCTGAATCTGTGGGGGCAAAAAAAGAGCTTTTTCTTCCAGAGGCACTGAAATGGTTTGGCTTAAGCATATTCTCTACTAAGGTGTGCTTTTTCCAAACTATGAGAACTGTTTGGTGAAACACTGGAAATACATTAAATGGAATTAGGCAGGATTCTAGAAATTATGTTAAATTACAGATGGTGTGAGAACAGTGTCTTAAAGCGTAGTTAAGTATATATGCTACATACCTATGACTAGTATTTTCTTACTACTTTATGACAATCAGAAACAAATTGTAAATTACCTGTGTTTCCTCCATGATTGAAATTATGCTCCTCTTCTCCTGGAACAGAGGGTGAAGTTTCATCAAGAAATGCTTATCATCTGGTTTTGATAACAAAGTCTTTACTCAGCAAAGGGTGATTTCTTACAGAAGGTGAAGGGGGAGAGCTTGGCAGGACTGTGAGAGAGGAGCTCCCCTTCCAGTCCTGACTGACAGCTGCGCTGGCTGAAGGAATAACTGCCCATCCTCCTGACACTGTGGTTTGGGAGGAGAATATTATCTTCTAAAAACAGGATAACACTTAGCAGTCTGCATCAAGCTCATTTCACAGGGAGTGGGAGGCCAGTATACTCTGGCTGTTCTCTAGTGCCAGACAATCAGATGATTTATCAATAACTTAAGATCATAGGGCCGATGTATCTCCTTTTGGTTCTCAGCAGAAGTCCCTTGCATCGGGACTATCCTAGCTGAATTCAAAGGGATAAGTCTTGCAGGGTTCTGGCATATGCTAGAATGCTACAAAATGTTTAGGAACAGATTTCAAGTTTGAGCTTTAGACTCAAACAATTGTTTATGGAGAAGGACAACTAATCTAAGTTAAAATAGCAGAGACTTGTCCCATACCTTCAGTGACAAACAAATTACCACTAAGCAAAACCTGCCATCTGTAAAGAGAATTGGTAAATATTACCTGCTATGTGAGGTGGTAAAGGCTTCCCATCAAGGAGGTCTGAGTCAGCAAAACCTCCTGCAAGATAAAGATTAGGATTCCTGTTGCAAAATTATCTGAGCAATGGTAACCTCTTCAGCTCCCTTGTCTGGTCTTTTTGTACCATTCTAGGGAGGGGCAAGGGGCCTTTGAAATCCCAGCTTCGACATGGCACATTGGTCAGGTCTCTTGCACTGAATGGTGACCTACTCAGATTAACATAGAAGCTCGAGTACTTAAAGTGTTGGTGTCTACCCATTCTGCATCTCTCTTGGGCACCTATGGGATGTGTGGGCTTGGGCTCTTAGTAGCACAAATCCTTATATAATATGGACATATCAAATCCCAGCAGTTCCTGGAGCAGGAATTCAGTGGGTCCTTTCCAGGAAAAACTCCAGGAGGACTTGTCCGTGGCTTACCACTACAATCATACCAGAAATAAATATGGGTTAGATGGTGGTAGGTGGGGCAGGTGTACCACTTGCACTTTATTTAAGTGGGTATCTGGGACCACACTAAAGAGCAGTATAGGCTTGCATCCATCTCCCAGGTCCCACCCGTTGTATGCCCCAGGGCCATCTCAGATGCGCATCTCAGTAAGGATTTGAACATAGGCTTATCCATGCTCTGTAGCTAAATGTCAGATTTGAACCTTAGTGTGGTTCAGTGTATACATTACCAAAATCAAAAAGCAAACAAGATGAGTGTTAGTTTCATGCCACTTAGGAGTCAGCATCCCACGTTTTGGGCAGAGAGAAAAGCTTTATGGTACCAACACTATAACTCAGAAAATCTTTCCAAACACTGAGTCAGGAACAGTGACTACAAAAGGGAGATGGAGGGAAGGAATGATAAAAACTACTAATAAAGAAATAAGAGAGAAATCTGGTCAAAATATCTGCTCTGAACAGCTCACAGTCCTAGATTTTCTTAGGAGAAAATATTCTTACCAGAATTGCTGTAGGTTCCAGGTCGTGGTGGAAGAGGTGGGTATAAAGGTTTTCTTGAGATGTCACCTATTGATAATTAATATTATTAGATGATTGGGCAGGCAAAACAGAGAGCTGTAAATAAAGAGTATGATAAGCTGAGATTTTATACCTATTTCTAATTTGTCCTCCGATGAATTAAGAATAGGATCTTGTCACTAGTTACGCCTCAAGCATGATATAGTGCTAGCTACTAAAACTACTTAGGAAGTGAAAAGGGAGTATTTTCAAAATTAAAATGAGAGAACAATGCACAAAAATGTTGAAGGGAAATATTTCATGTATTTCTGGCAAGGGCTGACATTGTTTAACACTGACAGGAGGCAGGCACAGGGTGTTACTGTAGGCATTGGTGGTGCAGTTATGCAGAGCTCGCAGAGAAGTTGATACTGGGCATGAGGCAGCAGGTTGTCTCTGTGCCATCAGCAGGTATGAATAACATCTGCAGATTGGTTTCATCTAACAGATGCTCAGTTCATTTAACTCATGATGAATTTGCTACTCTTGAAAAATGCAAAACGAACTCAGACTTCAGCTTTGCTGTTTAGGACTTTGTGCTTGTATTTGGCCTTAATTTTTGCCAAAGTATTACAAAGAGATGCATTGGACAGAGCAGGAGATCTGTTGACTAATAGCCATTTCCAGATTGCACATACAGTGCTGGACCGGTAAGAGCTGACTCAGGACAAAATATGCCAAAGTTGATGTCCAGGGCTGTTGGTCTGCCTATATAGAGTAGGTCATCTCTTGCCATCTTTTCTCCAATCAGTTCAGTCACATATTTAACTGTTCTCATAGCCACTGAATTTAGCTCCAAGTAAATCAAAGCTAAGTCACAGAAATAAATACCAATTTCCCTCCCTCTCCTTAAACCTTTCCTTCACCTTCAGTACATGCCAGATACCCTTTTATCATGTTTTCATCTTGCCTAGCTGTTAAATATAATGCTTCTGTTTGCGAGCAACACTGAGGTTCTGATTCAGCAAATTATATAGATACATGCTTAACTTCAGGCAAATTTAGCCTACTGCACTCAGTGGATTTTAGATGAAGTCTTAAAGCCTCGCTGAATCAGACTTTGCCCAATTAATTCCATTCAATGGAAGAGACTTGTTCTGTTCCAGAGCAGTGTGTAACAAAGACTCACCATGGCACACAAGCAGAAAACTACTGATCCCATTATTCATTTCTGTTATGAATCTGCACTTATTCAGTCTTCTTTAAGTGTAAGAAGATATGTCCTGTGGCATAGCTACTGAAAAAACAATGTCCCCAGAACAACTGATAGTAAGGTACATACCATAAACCCCATTATACCATGTTTGAATGTCAATTAAGAACCTGAACCGAAGATGGAGCAAAGAGACAAAACCCGAGGGAAACATAATTTTTCATCCTCTGAGTGAAAAGGCAGATTTTAATAAAGATACTTAAGCTATTCATTAATAATTTAATCAACATCGTCAACCCATCCTATCATAAAATTGCCCGTTAAAAACTTACAGGAGTGGAACAATTAGTATGGGCAGGAAGAAGTGACAGTGTAAACATGGGAATTAGAAACAAAATTAGATTCAGCCTTATAAAATACAGGCTAACACATCATTCAAATACAAGGGTGAAATGCCACAGGGGATCCTGGAAATGCAGAAAGCTCTGGAATTGAGAAAGTATAACATAGAAGTTATGATTCTATAAGAGTGAAACATGAGTAAAGGGACTGGAATCATAATTCAGAGGTTCTGTGCAACAGCCTGAGAAGTAATTTTTGATTTGTGTAGCCTTGATTCAAGTGGAATTTTAGGCTTTGATTCAATCCTACTTGCACTTTAGGTAATTTCACTGTGCAAGAACCTTTCTAGAGCACTTCACATCCTTGGTATATTTCTAAACACACTAAACAAAATGTGGTGCAAAAATTCCCAAAGCTAAGGATTTCATATATCCACACAGCTCAGCACAGTACCATGAGTACTTCCTTGGTCAGTTCTGGATGTTGTAGGAACACCTGGAAGTTATAGCAACTTACAACTTGACTGCTTCAAGCTTAAGCTGCATCATGTCCATCAGTGCTCATCACTGAAATATTCCTTCCTACATTTCTGGAGGGATTAGCAGAGCTTCAAAAAGCTCAGACCTCTCTCTATCCACTGTTACCTCTGATTCCTAGTCTTAGGAAGACCTGGGTTTTGTACCCGAAGAAACTACTGCCACCACCTGTTGTCTTCAACATTCTGCCAGAGGCAGAGGCAAAAGGGCTGCATGTACACACTTTGTAAAGACTCCCATTACTGCTCTTTCTCGTAGAGTCTTGAAATCTCTTTTCACAAATTACGCAGACTTCAGGAAAAAAAAAAACAAAACACAACACTAGGAAAAAAACCCAACCATCATATTAGAAAAAAAGAAGAGAGTACTCACCTCCACCAAGAGCGTCTCCTAAATGCAGATCGTTGTCTGAAAATGAAAAGGAGCAAGATGTAAAGTGAGTTACATACCATTCTTGAGGGAAGCGAGGTGTTAGTTTTGATAGAAAATATGTAACTGGAAGTTTGACAAGCAACTTTTTTCAGGTCAGTCACACAAATTCCAAAAAGTACTATGCTTTTCTTGGAAACTCTTACAGAATTTAATGTTTGCCTGTGCAATAATTGAAAAATGATATGGTACTTTGTACTCAAAATATGAAAATTTATTCCTGCTTTAAATAAGTTCAGAATAAATCTCATAATGGAATCGAGATCATTACCTCTTTAATATATTTGCAAGTAAGTTAATGTAATTAGCTATGTTAAGATATTAAAATGTATCTATTTTAAGATATACTTTATTAACATTTATGTCTGTGGTTAAAACTGGTATATGCATGTTTGGCTCAGGTTTAATTTGCTGAACTACAAAAACTGAATATCTATTTCAAGAACAAACACTAGGAAGTAATAAACATACTTAGGGAGAGAGAATTGAATCAACTAATATATGTAAGGTCATGGCGACATAAAAATTTTGCTTCAAGCAATCATACACTCCTGTCTGAGGTTGGGCGACAGTCTGTTTTAGTTTGGCTGAGCTACAAAGGTTTTAAAATATACTTAAATATTTGCACGTGCATGTTAAGCAGTGAATCAACAGACAAGGACCATTCCCCCAGCACTATACATGCGTCTCAGTGTTCCTGGAATGGAATTTTCTACCCAGTAAACAATTTGTCCATGAGCTGCAGGTGAATAAACAAGAACTCCATTTTCAATGTGCGAGCCTGGATATGAGTATGTGGATAATATTTTAGGGCTTGTATGTAACAGTCAGAAATACATTAGATGGATGTCATAACTCCAAGAATCCCTTTCTTGCTCCTTATGAATATGGAATGATGGAATGATTCAGGAGGAACAGCAAAATCTACCTAAATTTTGATACTTATGTTTATTGCCACAGAAAATGAGATAGGCACTCAATTACATCTAGGAGTTTTTTTCATTTCAATTACATCAGAATTCCTGAAACCCAGGAAAATCCATCCAAATGCATCGCTGTGCACAACTCTGCCTTCTTGTGGTCTTTATATCTAGAGGGTGTGGGAAGCTGCTTTTGCACAGTATCCAGTCTCATTTGTGTAACAGTGCTTTGATGTCACCAGGAAATCTGGCAGGAAAATAACCAAATTCATACTACGTGACTTGGGTTGTTCTTGTCAAGTCGGGTGTTGATCCTGTCTGTGTCTGGCCAGCAAAGAGTTGTATTTCGAAAATGCCTTTGCCTGTAAAAGGCTGACACTGTAAGAAGCAATAAATGGCAAACTGGATTTGATCTATTATCGAGATGAATTCAATGAAGATGCAGGGTTCCACTCTGGAGGGTTCATGCAGAGATTTTTTGCAGAAATGCTAAGGCTCACATGAATGAAATATGAGTGGAAATGCACGTGTCTGTAGGAACCAGAAGAAACAGCAGCGCAAAGGGTTAAAAGAACAGACAATAAAGGTCACTGTTCCCAGCAGTAAGATTGATGAGTGAGTTGCTTCTGCTAAAGCTGGCCTGCACTCCGATAAGATGACAGCACAGATGACTTGTCAGCAGAGGGAAAGCAGAAGGGCACCTGAAAGCCAAAGGTTGCAGCGTATCACCTATTGCACTACTTTCCTGTTTACGCACCCAGAAAATTGGCTGTAGACATAGTCTGAGTAACCCAAACAAGCAGAACCAGACAGTGGGCAGCAACCTGGCCTAGGGTCTAGAGACACTGAGGTAAGCAAGATTATGAGGCCAATGACCTCTCCATAAGAGCTGATGACTCCTAAAAGGTATAAAAGGTCTGTACATAAACTGGCTTGTTATTTCTGATCAAGAAGAACCACAGCAACAGGATAAGGCCTCAGTAGCTGATGTAACTGGTCCCATGTTGCACATGATGCTCATCAGATCCCCTGAACACATGCATCTTGGTGCTCATGTGTATACGGGTTTGAGCATACTGTAAAATTAAATTAATGGCAGGATGAACGCTAGTGGGTAAAATTAACTTATTTAGAGATTTGGTAAATAAACATCACCTTCCGTTCAGTTTTGTGTCAAATTTTGTCACATTAGATGGGAGGTACCTGCAGGGGGATTCAACGCTGTCCTGGGATGCATCAAGAGGAATTTGGCCAGCAGATCAAGAGAAGTGATTCTTCCCCTTTGCTCTTGTGAGACCTCACCTTGAATATTGTGTCCAGTTCTGGTGTCCCCACCATAAGCAAGACATAGGTCTGTTGGAACAAGTTCAGAGGAGGGCCATAAAGATGATCCAGGGGCTGGAGCACCTCTGCTATGAGGATAGTCTGAGGAAACTGGGATTGTTCAGTCTTGAAAAGAGAAGACTCCAAGGGGACCTTATAACTGGCTTCCAATACCTGAAGGGAACCTACAGGATGGTCATCAATAGGACAAGGGGAAATGGATTTAAGTTAAAGGAAAATAGATTTAGATTGGATCTTGGGAAAAATTCTTCAGTACGAGGGTGGCAAGACTCTGGAATAAATTGTCCAGAGAAGTTGTGGCTGCCCCCTCCCTGGAGGTGTTCAAGGCCAGGTTGGATGAGGCCTTGAGTAACCTGATCTAGTTGAGAGGCGTCCCTGCCCATGGCAGGGGGGTTGGATTAGATGATCTCTAAGGTCCCTTCCAACCTAGGCCATTCTATGATTCTATAATTCTATGATTCTATGAACTCAAGAAGAGAGGTGTGTGGAAAGTGATGCCCAGAGCACATGGTCTGAACAGTAACTGGCCTCAGTTGAACCAAAGTCATCATCTCAGCCAATCTCATTTCTGAGTGATACCGACTGAATGAGACATAGGGGAGACACTGAGGTTAAGATGAAGCATCAAGTAGATGTCAGGACATACTTTTGTATCATCTTTCTTCACGTTTCCAGGTCTAGTAATTGATTTTTAACATTCTTGCTTTAATTAGTTTTAGTTGATTTTAGAGTTCCTGCAATCCTCTTCAGTGGTAAAAGAGATTCCAGAATGGTCTGTAAAACAGAGTTCTTCATTCTCAAGAATTAGTGAAGTTGATAGGGCAGATAATCATCTGACTGTTGCATCTCTAAACAGATTTAGGAATCTCTAAAAATCAAATTCCTTTCACCTGGCTGAGGCAGTTTATATTAGGATGAGAATAAATCCACAGTTAGAGCAATATGAACCATCCTTAGACATGATGGTTTCTCTCCATTGACTTTAAAGGAAGTCAAGACAGTTACCTAAGTAGAGAGCGATGGCTTATCAGCACTTGACAACAGAAGCTTCTAGTCTAGGCCAAACACACGTTTTCTTCGCAAAATGAAGCAGAAAAGAAAAATTTAACAATTACAGGATTTAGTAATCATCGCATTCACAAAATGCTGCCCCGTTAGTTCAAAGTGAGCCAGAGAATAGTGGGGAAAATGTAATTGCTTTCACATACCTAAAAACTTAGTGCAACGTTTATCCAGAAAAAGACTGAAAGTTGTTGTGTGGTCCGATGTTATCCAGCATTTCCTGATTCAAGCATTATGTTTGATAGCCATAAATTTCTTTCAGTGTAATTTAGTTGAAAAGTCTCTATATTATCGTAAAATGTGCCATCATAAATGCATGTGTGATTTTGTCGTTGTTTGGAGTTTGGGATTTTTTCAACAATAATGAGTGTTCATTGGAAATCATCATTTGTCATCTTCAGGACTATAGCTAAAATCTTTTGGCTCTCTCAGCTGTTCAGGGCCTTTTTTCCTTTCAGACACAGATTTTTGTAACCATCAACACTAGATAATATTAAATAAATACATGGGGGAGAGGAAAGAATATACAAATATATTCTGATTCATTTCAAAGTCCACTACCAAGCATCATGAAGATTTATGCTAAAAGAAAAGATGATGAGAAAAAAAGTCGAAGAACATTTACCCATTTTTTAGCGACAGTTACCCATTGTTATACTCCCCAGGGAGTTCAGTAGAGGCTGGAAAAGCATGAAGATCTTCAGGAAACAAAATGCTGTCAGTGGCCAGTCATGCTCTAAAGCCTTACTGGAAGCAGTAAAGACATGTAATTGGCAATTGCCCAAAGAATATTTACTTTACATAGAGAAGACAACTAGTATTCACACAAATCATTTCAGCTATGGCGCATTAGCAAATAGAACAAGAATCTCATGGGAGACAGTTTCTACATATTTAAGATCAGTGATGCCCCGACATCTTCACTACTTACTCAGTACAGGCCGTGTCGGTCTTCTGATTACTGTAGGCTTCCTGGTAATTATGTCCCCTGTGGGACACAATGACATACAATAAACAATAACAGCTTAAAATTTCTCACCTTATCAAAAGAAAGTATTTACAGATCTAGAGAGCTGCATTCAATAAGCCTTTACTTATCTTGACAGAAGCTAAAAATGAAGAGATAGGTTTTCAAAGCCATTTGTTCTGATTGAAAGAAAAAATTAAGTTTACTACAGAAACTTTGAAATCTACCATTTATCAGTTCTTTATATTTTTAACTTAAGTACTAGTCATTTCGTATTCCAGTCCTCAAGGAAGAGAATTCAAGATTTAATACTGGGTCTAAATGCTCTGATAGAATAAGGATAGGAGATTTACCTACCTGGGTGATCAAGAGCATCAGCTAAATCAAAATCACGTTGACCTAGAAGGAAGGTGACAGAAGGTAAGAGTCGAAGTCAGTGGGCAGGTTTCCATGATGTCCCTGATCCGAGGGCTCTGGACAAAACCAATACGAGGCAAAGGGAAAATCCATCTGAACAGGACTGGGTGCAGAACAAGCTGCCAGCTGTTGTCCCTGCACTGTGCAGTCCTGAATGACCATGCAAGGTGGGCTCACTTAATTCAAAGAAGGTTTCCATTCAGGTAGTGCAAAGCTAATCCGCTCTCTCGTGTTATCCATACTCAGCCACTATGCAAACATGCTTTGAAGAACACAGGTTGCCTGTTACAGGACACGAGGGCTTATTGCCAGGAGATGGCTGAAAGTAGCGTTCAGCACACTGCTTGCAAACCAGAATAATTAGGTGAGAACTTTTAATACCTTCATTATTGTTTTATTAGCTCAGGTTCAGAGAGCAGCTTTACTGGTAAGCCTGCCTTGTGATCACTTATAACATGAATCAACTTTTTTTTTTTAAATTATTCCTGTAACAAGTGCCAGCCATAAAAGATATAAAGACGTGTTTATCTAATTTCATTTCCACTGTACCTTAAAAAATCCAAAAGGGAGAAAAGAACCCTTCCTGTTCTGTATTAGGTGTCAATGATGTTGTTAAATGTCACAGCAGAGCTATTAGCATCCTGACCTTTGAAGCTGGCAAGTAAATAAAACTGGAAAATGTTTAAAATGTATAAACTGTAGCATGACTTTTAACTGAACAAACACAGTTATTCATGCGAGCTTTACTTTCCACTCTCTACAATCTACCACTTTCTTTTTAATACACAGCCTTCATGAAACACCTTTTTGCAGAGTATGCTTCCATTAGTTTTCATCCAGACTGAAACCTCACCGAAAACAAAATCAGCTTACACAAACCTGCAAAAGGTCATGATGTGCCATGGCTTCCCTAGCAGAAATGTTTTACTGTGCTCTATCGAGTAAGCCTCTTGATCTGCACCTGTTTATTATCCCATCTAAAAAGCCTAATACCTAACTCTTCAAAGAAGTTTTTTTCTCAGTAAATCTTGAACACTTCACACCAAGAAAAGCTTCTTTGTTCAAGAGGGGAAACTGAGGAACACAAAGAGGCCATCAGAGGTTCTCCAGCATGACAGCACTTTGGGCTCAGCTCAGCACTCTCTTCTTGACGTGTGCTGTCTGTCTTTGTGGCATTCTTCACATGAATCACAGCTCCTGAATAATAGCTCTTGCCTGTCTCAAAGAGCTCCTGGAAAGATTAATTATCAGTAGTAAAACATTGTGTGATCCTCAAATAACAATCAGTGCAGGAGCATAAAGTAAAAATGTTCTGATTCCCGTGAGGATTTTCACGTAAGTCTGTGAACTTAATTATAGCTGGTGTCTGACTGAAATGATAAAATGAGGCTGGAATGCAAAATAGTAAATGGCTTCTAAAGCAAAACTGTCCCTATAAAACATTATGACAAACCCGTGTTCAGAAAGGAAAAGCAGATAGCAGCATAAGCTTTTCCCAGTAATGTTCTTGGCATTGTATGTTATCTCTTATCATTTGAACTGATCTTGGAGGGTCACCTCATCCGACCACCTCTCCTTTCCCTGCCCTCGTTGCTCAGCCAACCTTGTCAAGTCCAGTAACCTTTGGACTGGGTCCTTAGATGGTTCATATTCTAAGACAATACCTAACTACATAAAATTGACAAGTTGCTTCCTCAGAAGATATTCCTTGCCAGAGCCCTGAGGGCACCACCAGCCCTTCCTGTCCCTGAGCCCCTGCCCGGGGGCTGTCACAGCTGCTGCCACGGCACCAGCTGATCTTAATGCAGGCCCTCACCAGCAGGCTGACATCCTGGCATTGCCTCAACTTATACGATCAAATTATACTTTTCTTCAGTGCCAGCAATATGAGCAATTTAAGTTTGTCTGTCCCTTGTTTTTGTCCTTCGTTCTTGACTGGTGTCCCGAGTGCCGAAAAGGGCTATCTGACCTAAGCCCTGCTGCTGCAGGATACTGCAAGCAGGGCTCAAACCATTTTTTGTTGGAGTCATCAGAAATAATTGTGTAACACCGAAGAGCTGTCGGCCAAGCCAGCTCCTTTGTTGCAGGTCCTGACATGCAGGAACTAATGATATAAAAAGCAGCTCCCAAGGTCCTAATGTTGTAAAGAGAACGTGACAAATGGTTGTGTGAAGGAAGACTCTGGAAGACTTCCAGGTGTAATATCTATTTGAAGTTTGGGGAAAAAAAACAGGAAAAGGAATCTAATGAAAAGAGATTCTGAAATTCAGACAAGATGATGCAGTTGCTTGCAATTGCCTGAAAATCAAAGCAAAACAACAGACCAAAACTGTTACAAACATCTGCTCTTCTACACAGTATCGACATTTCCTTCTCCTCTTGTATGTCTGCTCTGTTATTGAAAAGATTGGAAAAGACAAGAGGTGTTGTTTTGAGACAGCAAGACAAAAACAGAAGACAACTACAGAAACTTTAAGAAGAGAAAAAGCAGCCTGAAAATCATCTGCAGAAATTAACTCAGATTGATTTTTGAAGAATTATTTCTGATGGTAAACCAAGTAACAAAAAACAGACACCAATGCAGAATGACTGATCGGGAGTGAGACATGAGTCTACACTGAAATCTCTTTGGCTGTGTAAATATAACCCCTGACAGATGGGCAGATTGTGTGTGGACATCTGTGTGGAATGCTAAATGATATTCCCACAAACTAAAAGATTGCTTGGACTTCCATTGCGACTTCCTCCGATAATAACATCAAATGACTGCGAGAAGTAAGATTTTGTGGAGCAGAATTTTAAATGCTCATTACCATTTCTGAGACTGCACCTAGACATTTTATGAATCTAATCTGGGAGGATAACAGATGGTTAAATAGCTGAACAGCCCGGATTTCATCCGCAAAATGGTGGGTCTAAAAACAAAAGCACATTAGAGACTCAGAGAATGTTCAGCTCAATAGGAACTACAGTCACTTCAGGGAATTCTGAAGATAAATCACAACAGAAATAAATTAGTCACACTTTTTCACAGAACAAACAGACTGAAATAAATTCATTTTCCACATATAAAAGTGGTCTTTTTTTTTTTTTATGAGAGTCTATAATAGAAACAGCCAGAAATATACTGATGAAAATGAGAATGAGAGAAATTTTAGTGGGGAGAAAACAGCTTTGTTCCTTTAGGGATTTTTATTTGGTTAGGGTTTTTATGCATGTGGTTTCTGTTGGCTTGGGGTTTTTTTTGTTTTATTTTTTTAACCTGGATAAAGTTATGAACACATTTAGCTATGCGGAAGGTATTATCTCAGATTTACCTCTGTTGTTATTGCTTTAGGCTAGTATGCTATTTCTTGGCATCACTTCGAGCCTTTCTTCTGGGAGCATCCCTGTTTTTACATAGAAATAAAATGATTGGAATAGTGTGTTTTGTTGGGTGGTCTTCAATGATTTATAACAGAGAATTTGAGAAAGTGCTTATAAGCTCCTGCCTGACACCACAGAATAGTCCTTATCTGCAAATGAGAAAATACTGAGGTAAGAAAGCAAGCCTTCCAGATGGGTATACAATTTGTATCATGAAAGGACTTGTTTTGACTATATTTATATTAGCTGCTCAAACACAATGAACTATACTAACAGCAGGACTTCTGCTGGCACTGAAAGCCTTATTTGGAATATAATTCCCTCATCTCCACCCAATGCATGTAGCTGTGCTGTAAAAATCTGAAGTATAGACCTGGCCTACATAGCTAACAGTAGACTTCTCTGTAGCAGCCAGGCCAGGGAGAATAGAGTCTGCAAACCAAGCATCAAAACATCTTAAATTAAATTTCAAAGTTACTACATTTATTTTTAGACATGATTCTTCCAGGTAGGACGCTTGCTTTCACTACTGCCCATACTTTCTATGAGCCTTTTGAATATCATGTGTGGAAGGCTGGTGACATAAAAACCTTTTTAGTCCATTTGTTCTGATATGGGGACTGTTATGTTTGCTGTTTGCCACAGAGATACTGAGCCAGCTTTTACTAGGTTCCCTTGAATATATGACCCACCCTGCTGAAGCTTCACCTTTTGCCTCTGGTTGGATTTGTGACCTAAATGTTAAATGGATCCATCACTCTTTATCTGTGTAGATGATGGATCACAAGGGTCTGAGGTCCCACAGTTTTTGAGGAGAACTTATGAGGCAAAAGGCTGGATTCTGCAGGTGGATGATACCAGTTCATCACTATGACTGTAGTCAGAAGGTTTCTGACAAAAAGCCAACACGACATCACTCTGCAGTTTTTAGTCTCCATAAGTGGGCTCAGTCCTGCACTGAACACAATTTGTGGCCATTGAAAAAATGCACATTTAAATAAGACAGCACAAGTGTAGCTAAATGAGAGGTTATGCAGCAGATGAAATTAACTTCTCAGGCATTAATTATGCATAGTCTAGTATTAAAAACGAAGCTAGGATTGATGAGAAAATGTGTTTATATGTGTACATGTGTGAGAACATACATCTTAAATGCCTACATGCACATGTGTGCTGGATAAATCCTTTTGTCATTAATATGATTATATTAATGGGCTTTGAGTGTACTGCTAGCAGTCACGTGATTGGGATGAGATTACCTGTGCTACAAATAAATTAGAAGAAACTTAACTTTGAAACGTGAGCTAGATAGAAAGGGAAAAGAAGTTGATTTTACACTATTTAAAAACAAGAACAAAAATTATTTCATAAATAAGAATTGTTTTGAGAATACAATGAGCTTGAGACATGAAGCTGGCAAAGACTGAGGAGGAAGTGGGTGACTCACAAATGAGAACAAAAATTTTCTAAGAAAGGAACAATATGTTACTGAATTTGCGTATGGGACACATTTTATGTTCTTTTTAGCTGAAATAGTAAATTATTCTTTGTATAGGTCATTTCTGATTATTATACAATCATGACACATACTTCCCCTGTAACAAGAAAATAGGATG